GGGGGAATAACGTGGGGCCTCCCTGACTCTCACCGCCCCTTGCTCCAGAGGAAGGGTGGAAGGGGCTGGGAGGGAGCAGTCCAAGGACAGGGGAGGAGAACAGCAGCAGCAAGACTGGAAACTCAGAGCTGGAGGCCCAGAGACGGCTGAAGAAAACCCATCGGAGTCCCTTGTCCCCAGAAACCTAAAGCTCATGGGTATGGGGGCAGGGCCACCTCTAGCCCACAAACAACTCTGAGCAAATTAGAGAAAGGTATTTCTTTCAGAACGGATGAAAACCCAAGCCAGGGCAGCTCAGGGGAAGCACTTGGGTCTGTAACTGAACTCAGCCCAGCAAAGCCCTCTGATCGCTACTCAGATGACAAAGCAAACAAACACTCAGATGCTTGACTTCCCTGGGGGGTGGGGGGGTGGAGGGGGCTGCCATACATGTTGGGTACAATGAAATGTCGTGTGCAAATGGTAAAGTTTGTTACCAACAGGGGAAAGCAAAGAAGTAGAAATAACTGAAATGAGAAGTAAAGATAAGGACGTTCTGAGCAACCCAGGAGTAAACCAACACAAGTTGCCAAACTTTGATTTGGACCACAGTTCTCCGCGTCACAGCTCTCTGTGAGGAGGAACGCTGGTACTTACAGGATTTTCAGGCTGTAGAGACCAGAGAATGCTTGCCCCGGAATGTGCGAGAGATGGTTCCCAGAGAGACGCCTGGAATTCAGAGACGGGGGTCAGTGATGTAGGAGGTAGCCCAAGGAGGGGGTGAGACCATTAGTCAGGTTTGGGGATAGGAGAGGGTAGCATGGGAGCTCTAACTGCATTTATTGAGATCTACAATGTGGAACGCGTGCCTCTTCTCAAGTCTCATCGTGGCCCTGTGAGGTGTCTATTATCATACCCAAATATCAGATGAAACAGGCTGAGAGAGGTCGGATCACCTTCTCCAGGAGTTGCAACCAGTCAATGACAGAGCATGGTGTTGTCACCCCTATCAGGCTGGCTCCAAGGCGCCTAGCTACTCCCCTGGGCCACGTCCTCTTCTGTGCCAGCTGGGGTTACCCGGGCCTCCCTTGGACCACTGAACTGCATTGGATGGCATCAGCAGTGGAAAGGTGAGGTGTGGGGGTGTATCTGTTTCTCCCTGTACCCCAACTACACAGTAAACTCCACTAATCCTGGAGGGTCAAGAAGCAGAATGTTAGACTCAGTCAACACTCTGATCTGACCAAGCAAGGTCACACCTGTCAGAGGGTGATTACCCACTCTAAACCATTGCTGGTTTTGGCTTTTTGTTCTTTTATACATGAGGGACCTGACAGGTACTAGGAGCAAATGCAGCAAAATATACTTCACGCAGTATTTAATACTGAAAACGGCCCACGCAGGGCTTAATTGTGGGTGATTCAGAAGACACTTCTGGATCTAGAGTCCCTGGGGACATCGTGATGAGCGTCGGCTGCTACCGAGAGGCTCACAGACAGAGAGACTGGGCTGATACAGCTCGGACACTCCTTACGAAAAATCTCTCTCCTGGACCTGGTGGCTTGAAACTTACACCAGGCATGTGTGTGTGCATGCCCCAAATCCCAAGAGGACACTAAAGAAAGGATTGCAGTGTGGTCATCCCTGCTCGGGAGTGATTTCTCGCTTTCCCTCTCTCTGACTCTGTCTCTCTCCGGTAAGCACATATGCCCTATGGCAAAAATCTTTTAAAAAAATACTAATAAAAGTCACTATTTGACATTTGTGGGGTTTTTTGTTTATTTGTTTTTGTTTTTGTTTTTGCTTTTGTTTTTGTTTTTTAAATGTGTGGGGAGACCTACCGATCATTGACATCTCCAAGCTTGGGTTCTATAGGTGGATGTTTGCTGTGAAAAGGTCTGTTAGGCGGGGCCTTTACAATTGGTCCAATCCCTTCAGGGGTGGAAGATGGAAGATCGACCTTACGTTCTCAGGTTGTGCACCATGTGCCACTGCCCTGAGCCCCTTGGGTCTTGATCTTGCTTTTCATTCCCCCCTGAGCTGTGTCACCTCCACCTTGGAAGGTCCCTCTGTTTACTTCCTTTGAAAACTCACTTCACACTTGTCCTCCAGGAAGGGTCCCCTGACCACTGGTCAGACCCACCTACCCTGACCACGGGCACCTGTGGACTCCTGCCACACAGCTCTCAGGCATCGCCAGAAGGCGGTGGGCATGTCCGCACCCCCAGCAAACACCCACCGACAGAACCTGAGCTTGGGGACCTCAGATATGCTGCCTTTCCAAGTGGTTTGTGTTGTTGCTGGTTTTGGCTTTTTGTTCTTTTATACACGAGGGACCTGACAGGTACTAGTTCTGGAAAACCCGGCATGGCCTTGGGAGTTTGATGGGACCCTAACTCCAGCAGAGCCAGGCTAACTGTACTCTGGGGGAGTACCATCTAGGGTTGCAGTGGGGAGAGGTAGAATTGGGAAGGTTTTTCAGGCCAGGAGCCCATAGTTTGCACAGTTTAAACTAACCTTTGTAGAGCCCCAAGGACCCATGGCACTGTAGAAATAAAAGCAGATTGGGATCGAGTGACCTGGCTTCCCAGAGGAGGCAAGCCGGGCACTCTGACTGAGGAGCATCACAAGCACTTAAGGCCAGACTCCACAACCCCAGGCTGGGAACGACCACCATGGGGAGGGAGGAGGCAGGGAGGAGTCTGTGGAGGAAGTGGACCTTGCAAGGGAAGGTCTGAGCAGTGGATCCTTTGGGCCATGGTGGTGGTGGTGGTGGGGTGTCACAGAGGCTCTTGAGCTGGTGAAATGCACCCTGAAGATATGCAGAGCGTAAGGAATGGGGAAGGAGATCTGCAGGTTAGGAGTCGTCCAGGACAGCAGCAGTGGGGCTAGAGAGCAAGGCTTTCCAGAGAAGGCTCTCCGGCACTTGGGGCATGGCTGGCAGCTGACGCAGGGGAGGACAGCAGCTCAAAGATGGTTGGGAACCAGCAGTTAGCATAATGGCTATGTCGCTAGACTCCCACGTAGTCAACCGCGGTTCGTGTCCCGAACCTGGTGGCTTAGATCTCACGCCGGGCACATGTGTGTGAGTGCCCAAGATCCCGAGAGGAGAATGGAGGAGAAGGGATTGCGGCATGACCATCCTCCCTGGGGGGGGGTGATTTCTCGCTTTCTGTCTTTATGTCTCGCTCTGTTTGGTAAGTGCACGTGCCCTATAGCAAAAACCTCTCCCCCCCCAAAAAAAAAAAGATGGTTCCTGGGGAGTCATTAAGAGGAGTTGATTTCAGAGAGGAATGAAAGCAAGGTTTTAGACTTCCTGTACCACTGCCCCCTGGAGTCACATCTGGGGCAGGTGCCACCTGAATCCCCTGCTACCAAGGTCAGCCTTTGCTTGCCACGCCCCCTTCTTTCCACTCAGTTCTACCCTACCAGGTCTTCCAGCTACTGGTAGGACCAGAGCCCCACCTCCCAGCCCTCATAGATCCACTCACAGCTCCTCCAAGAAGCGCAGGTGGTGGAAGAGGCCAGGCTGCAGTTCCGTGAGGTTGTTCATGCTGAGGTCTCTGCATGGAGAGAGAATGGGAAAGGGGCTGTGAGCTGCCCATTGACCCTATCCTGGACCGTCCAGCTCCACCCCCCACAGAGGACCCCAGGGATTGGCCCAGCACACCCCCCACCAGGCACTCTGGCATCAGCAGCTGCATTCTCTCCAAGGGTGAGCACTGCATGGGGAGTTGGGCCTCAGGCCATGTGCCTGCTCTTCCTATACGTTCTCCCATCCCCCTTCTCTTTTCCACCCTTCCTTTGCAGGACTCCCTGGAGACTGGCTGTGATTTAAACTATGAAGGAAACTGGTCTCCCAGTAAAGGGACGAGCTGGAGGAAAATTCATAGAATTTCAGAGCAGGAAAGGGTTCTCTAAAACTAAGGGGTCATCCACTGTTCTTATCAATGGGGAAACCAAGGCCCAGCGATCACTGCCATTCTGATCTGCAGAGCAGGCAGCCACCTTCACGTACTGGTGTGATCGTTCTGGGTCAGCCATGGGGATCCTCACTTTACTTAATTCTAGAGCCGATGTGGTCTCACCACCCTCGGGGGTCTCTGCCAAACTCTCCCCCTCCCTTAGTCCCCTTTACCTTTGCCCATAGACGACATGACCACTTCGTGACCTAGGAGATGCCTCCACTCCTGAGTGGAGGGATGTGGAGACCCTGGTCCCTCAGTGAGTTCACAGTCTAGATCACTCTAAGCCCCTTAGAATATCTGAGGGACCCTGTGGGTGGTTTCAGTGTCACTGTCACCCAAAAATACCCCTAGGAATAACAAGACGTTTCCTGCAGGCCCACTCTGTGCCGGGAGCTGGCTAAGCTTGGTCCAAGTGACGCCATTAACTCTCAAGACAATCCCACATCAGTCTCTGTCATCTGCATTCACACTTTTTAAGTGTATTTATTCCATGAGCAAGGAAGAGAGAACACCTCATCAGGGTCCTCACTTTGCAACCTGTGACACGCTTCACTTTGCAGGGCTGATGCACACAAGAAGTTCCAGGTTTCCTTCCGGAGACCTCCAGTTTATGCTTGAGGAAACGGAGTGAAGAGCAGTGAGCTTTGGAGTCAAAGGCCCTGAGATCAAATCTCTCCTCTACGGCTACCTATCGGACATGGGACTTTCGACCACCGTGACCCTCAGTTTCCTCATCCATAAAAATGGGACCAAGCTAGTAGGGTCCTTGTGATGATGACGTGAGCAGGGTTTGCAGACTGCTTAGTGAACAGCCCATACACTATCAGTACTTGCTCTCTTCTTTCCACCCTTCCCTGGGTGTCCCACAGGCAAGCATCCCAGCCCCATGGGCCTGGGGAGGTGGAGAGGGGTTAGTGCCCTCCTCTGTGGGTTGGGCTGGGCATGGGTGAGTGCTTTTCCCCTTCTCAGTCTGTACCTGGCTGAGCAGGGGTGTGTGAGAGGTCCTGTGTGCCTGACACATCTGGGTTCCATCCCATTGAACTCCTCACAGCTGCCTCTCGCCTGTGCCCGGCCCTCTGTGGGTACCGAGGTGGCCCGGAGCAGATCACCATGCTGGACTTGTCCCACTGCTGCTGCAGTCGCCTCCCTTCCCCAGGAATGCACTTTCCCCCTTTGCCTCCAGGAAAAGGGGTGCTTTCTATGTGTTCAGAAAGGCAGGCTAGGGTGCTCTGAAGCCCAGTTCCAATCTATAAAAAGTCTGTTTAGTCTCAAACGTTTTATCTTTGATAAAGTCTGGACTCTGCACTCCATGTTCTCTACGAGAGGAAGACGTTCTGTGCAGCGCAGAGCCCGGGAACTGGCAGGCCTTGGTGCTCAGCTGCAGCTCCTTCCTGCTCCCTCCCAGACAGAAGGGCCGTCCTGCCCCATGGAGAGGCAGGACCTCACAGAGGCTAGGGCTGGTGGTCTCCGAGCATGGTGGAGAGAAGCGGAACCCAGAGAGTTCATTGAAGATTTTTTTCTTTTTTTAAATCTCTTCTATCAGCAAGAGGCAGACAGATAAAGCCCCCAAAGGTCCCGATACTGCGGTCCACCATGGCCGCAGGCAGCCCTGGTCACAGGCACACGTGTGCCCGGAGTACTTGGGGAGATCCCTGGGAAGGTCACCGAACAGGTGACCCGCCTGTGGGATTCCTTCACAGAATGCCCTATTTTGCCACTCCACCATCTGGGCTCGTTCATGGATTTTTCTTCTTTTTTGACTATAGGGCACATGCGCTTGCCAGAGACAGAGAGACAGAGAGAGAAACTGAGAAATCAGCCCCCAGGGTGGGGAGAGGAAACCAGGCCACAATCCCCCCTCCTCCACATTCTCCTCAGGATCTTGGGCACACACACACACACACACACACACACACACACACACGGAGTGATTATCAAGCCACTGCATCCAGGACTCTGAGCACGCAGTCAGCCATGTGGGATCCAGCACCTTAATCCCCATGTCATGTGCTGACCTCGTCCATGGAATTCAAGCCATGGTTTGAAACTCAGGAGGTTTTCAGGCTGACCAGGTTGTAGCTGACCCGTGAGGATCAGGAGTGCACGGGACAGTGGCGATGCCCACAGGAGCCCAGGCTGCAAGACCTGGGTGTGACTGGATTCTTCTCCCTCAATTCCGGGGCCTGGCTCATCCTCAGCAAGGCGGGGAGGTGCGAGGTGCACAAAAACGATTACCTCTAAATATTTACCCTGTGCGTTTCTGGATGTGTCTCGGCAGGTACAGAGCGGGAGTTCAAGGAGCACTCAGGGCATGTGACTCAGGCCTCATCACTCAGCTGTCCCTCCAGGGGCCGCATGGCCAAGGCTCTGATGTAGCTCCATGCCCCCCCGCAACTGACTAGCGGCCTCATTGTTCTCCCCTGAGAGAAGGGGCCGTTACCACCCCCACCCCCACATCCTGCCCCAAGACACAAGGAGGCAGCTGCAGTGCAGTGCTGTAGAGAGGGTAGGGTGGGCAAGGGGGTGGATTTCAATGATTGGGGGTGGGGGGAGCCCCATTCAGGCCTGGCTGTCTCACAAAAGGAAAAGGGGTGAGGCTGGTGCCAGGGAAGGGGAAGGAAGAGGAATGCAGAGAGCTGGGAGAGGGAGGTGAAGTGGAGATTTCAAAGCCCAGATACTCTAAGCTGATGCCACAGGTCTGGGAACCTCGAGGGGCCTTGGCGGGAGGCACAGGCCCAGCAGTGGGCCCTGCGGTGGGGAGGCTGCGAGTGCACAGTGCAGGAGGGGCTCCACGGCGAGGGGCTCCCCGGGCAGAACCCCCGACCACACAGGCTGCCCTTCAGGTCCGACACTGGGCTGTGCTGAAGGCCAGCTGTGCAACCTGGTCTCCAGGGCACCCAGAGAACGCGGCTCAGACAGGTGGCCACGCCTGACCCGGGGGAGTATCCAGGCACCTGATGCACAGGGACATGGGGGGCCTGGTTGTGGCTGTGTCCAGCAGCTGCACACACGTGTATTTACAAAGAGCGGGGTCGCTTGTTTTGTGGAGTGTTGGGCATGCGAGTGTCACCTGTAAGGGCTGGAGTGTTAGACTGTTAAAGTCACCAATTTGGAGCCAGTAAGTGGCATAGTGGTTGTGATGCTGGGCTCCCACATGGCCAACAGTGGTTTGAGTCCTAGATTCGGTAGTGTGACAATCACTGTGGGCATGTGTGCCCAAAATCTCAGGAGGAGAATGGAGGAGAAGGGATTGCGGCTTGCTGCTCGGCCATCCCCCCTGGAATTTCTCACTTTCCCTCTCTTTTCTCTCTGGCAAGCACATGCACCCTATGGCAAAAACCTAAAGAAAAAGAAGAAAGAAAGAGAGAGAGAGAAAAGGAAAAGAAAGAAAGAAAAAGAGAAAGGAAGGAAGGAAGGAAGGAAGGAGGAAGGAAGGAAGGAAGACAGAAAGAAAAGAAAGAAAAGAAAGAAAGAAAGAAAGAAAGAAAGAAAGAAAGAAAGAAAGAAAGAAAGAAAGAGAAAGAAAGAAAGAGAAAGAAAAAGTCACCAGCTTTCTTGACGCATGCACCTATTAAAAAGAAACACCGGGAGGAACAGGGAGCTTCACCCACTCTCCCCCTCTGCAGCTTGGACAGCGTGGTTCCTTCTCAGCCGCAGGCCTCCCCTCTGGTCCACCCTGGATTCCAGGCAGGAAAAGATTGCCCAGCGATGCTCTTTCTGCTCTTTCGGGGGCTTACCTGTGGCTGAATTGGAACCTGATGTCTGCACTCAAACTCTGCTCCACCGCTACCATCCTACGATCACTACAAACATGCACACGTGCACATGCACGCGCACACACACACACACACACACACACACACATGCGCATGCGCACACACACACTACCGCTCTCCAGGACAAGTGGCCCGTGAAGTTGCACAAGCGCCCCCCACTCTGAAAGGCCCAGGCTTGATTTAATTCTCTGCCATTGCCTTTCTGAAATCCTTAAGTTTTTGGACAAGAGGCCACACATTTTCATTTTGCACTGGGCCCTGACAACTGCTGCTCTGGACTGAAGGGCAAGCAGTGGACAGGATGGGTCTCAGTCCCATTCTAAAGCCTTGGGGCTATGCTGCTGCCCAGCAGCCGTGATGGGTGGGGTGTCCCCAGGGCCCGGGACAGGAGGGAGTGGAGGGAAGAGAGGGGCAGCCTTGGGCATGGGGAGTGGAAGCTTCTGGCAGCAAGGTAGGAAAATGTTCTCAGAGCTTCGCCCTGTGAGGCACCAGACCACCCAAGGAAGCTGGGTGGGGTGGTGTTGCCATAGAGAAAGGGAGCAGGTCCGATTAGGAGGAGGATGTGGAACCCAGTGGCAGAGAGCAGCAAAACCAGAGGCTGGCTAGGCAGGGCAAGGTAACAGGAGACCCTCCCTGTGGCCATCTGGCTGATACCACAGGTCGGCTCTGTTACGAGACCATGAAGGCCGCAGCCCCTGAGTTCCGTGGAGTGGACCTGGCAGGCCTGGCCCACCCTCTCCCTGGAGAAGAAGTGAAGAGGCATTTTCTGCCTCTCTGCTTTGGGGTCAGGCTGCCCAACTCTACAGCCAGAAGGCCAAC